TTTGATTCTATTGGTCAGCAAATTTGTGAGCAACAGAATGAGTCTGTTTCAGATGAGGCTCTATTTTTTCCAGATAGCTTGAAAATGGGTTTTCTACAGAGGAATTTGTCCTATGGAATTTTCTCATTCAATATGCTACTGGCTCTAATATGTTCTAGTAATGATGGCTTTCATGCAGCAAAGTTCTTGCACTGGTTAAGAAAAATACGGCAAAGTAAACAGACAGTGTGACTGGCTGGTAAAAAGGTGCAATTTCAAGAAAGCTTTTCAATGAGTGGATCATAAGCAGCCACATCCCAGTACAACGGGTTCTGCATGAGTAAGCACAGAGAGGAAGGTGCCAAGTGTTAGGGGGGATGAGACAGCATCTAGCAGAGAAACCTTCTGCTACAGGTCCAGTGTAAGTTGTAACCTCAGTAGGACTCTGGGGTTCACTGAAGTTGCCATTATTGGGTGGGTGTAATCCATGCTTGAGTATTCCTAATTTTCCCACATGCAACTTGCCCTGTGCAGATGCAATGGTGGGGCCCACGTGGGGGCTTGCAGCCCACCTTTAAGCTGGGTCCCTGGCAGGTACCTGGAAAGATTTTAGTGCAAACTTTGCATGTTCAGGAAGATTAGTCCCCTGAGCTAGTACGATATGCCCACTATTTCTTAATTTCTCACTGGTTGTAAAAAAAAAAAAACCCACAAAAAAAAAGAGGTTACAATTGTTAGCGACTAGCATTCCTTCCTGTACCAGAAGCAACAACACGTTCTCAGCAACTTCCTCAGGAATTCTCACTCCTCTTTGGCCATTTGTTATCAGTTCTACCAGTGATGATCATTAGTGCACGGAATATGATAAACTCATTACCAAAATCTACAAAGCAGTGCAAAGCCCTGCATTTCCTGGCATGCGTTCCCACTAAATAAAAATCCTTAGATTGCCAGTGATTTAGAACAACCGACTGACAGACCTAGCTGAAATCTGGAATTTCCATTTACAAGAACAAGCAGTAACAATGACAAAATTATGGAGCCAGACCAAAAGTCAGCCTGACCCAGCATCCAGTCAGTAGCAGAAGTCGCAAGCGTCAAGGCAGAACACAAAAACGGGGCACATGGAGATTACATCTAGACAGGTGGGATTACATGTAGTGAAGCATGTACGTTCCAGTAATTTGTCTAAATTTATTCGAACCTGGTCATGTTTTTGGCCTCCTTATCTCCCAGTCCCGAAAGTTACTTAACGCTTTGGAAAAAAAAGTACTGCGGTTTGTTTTAAAATTGAAGCCTCAGCATTTCCATGGCAGCCTCCAAGTTTTTGGACTCTGAGAAATAACGTATAATTGTTCCTTATTCAACCTTATCATGACCGTCTACATTTTTATCACATCCAAGGTAGTTCTCTTCAATGCCAAAGATGAATGATTTAATCTGTCCTTATGCAGAAGTTAGTCCCCACTAAAGGGAAACTTTATTTTTATCTTCCAGTGCGTTATAGTTGTGCTGTGACTTTACTGACCTGGGGAGACAAGACTATGGGCACAATAATGACATGAGAAGATCATATATTTACACAAAGACAGTACTTTGGTTTTATTCTGTTCTCATTTCTTATCACCATAACTCCCAACACATAATTTCTCTTTTGTCTATCATAGAAAATTGAAATTATATGTTCAGATAATTCAATTACTAGTAGTGGTTCCAGAATTTACCTCCATTTTTACCACAGCCTATTTAAAGCCCATCAATAGGTAAGTATAGCTGAGACTGTTTATTCATCACGTATAAATGCTTTACATTATTAACACTGAATTTCGTCTCCCATTTTATCAACCAGCCACTATACGACAGAATTCATTTCATCTCTTCATGTTCACAGTGTAAAGCCTCTATACCAGTAGGTCCTTTAGATTTTCTTTCTATATAGGGTGAAGAAGGAAGCATTTTTGAAGATGATTTATCTCATTCTAAGCTAGACATTCAAAATAAGTCAAATGAATCATGAATCTTTCTCTTTTCTGAGTATAAAGGAAGCTTAGATGAAAATATTTCAATAGAAAGTAAATAAAGGTAAGTAAGATCATTACCCTCAAAACAGCAAACATCTAAGAAACAGGAGTTTTTGCTACTTCTCCCTCCAGAATCAAATAAAGAGAGGCACCACCCACAGCAATCCTCCTCACCTTTCTGGTCGCTTATTTTTGGATACGATGATTCTGTCTTAGAGAAGCTTCTCTCTTTTCACTGATTAGAGGAGGAGCTGGGAGGGCTGACTCTTGGCATTATTTTTAGTAGACTAAACTTAGCTGAGATTACTCCATTGTTGGCACTATGAGATCTTCCTGAACCGCGAGAGCTTACTCACAGATTTGCGAAGGTGCTAACAGGTCTTGATCACTGTGAGCTGCACCAACCACTGCAGTTATCATTCCCCAGCTACAAGGCATGGTCACAACTGCATTGTCACTTTCCATCATAAGACATAGGAAGCATCTATCTACAGATGTGACTGCTTTGAGGAAGCCTGTAGCCTTTACAGTCTCAGGAGCCTGCATTCCTAGATCAGTTCTGGATGGATTGAACCACACAGGCTCTTGGTACAGCGGTAATTACCCTTCAATTAATCAGCCTCACCATTTAGCCCACATTCAGTGCTCTGCCTTTTAACGTGCGATTAACGCTTCCTCACCACGTAAAATAAGGTTAAAATTTTAAATATTCATCAACCAAAATGCCACTCTTCTCTTTGTTGAACCAACCATACAGGGTTTGGTTTAGTTTCACTGGACATAACTCTGCCTCTAACACAATGTTGTTATATGACAACCACAGTTCGAGACTGTTCCATCAATAGTTTTCAACTTGCTTACAAGAAATGCCAATTATTTATACAAGAGATATTTACCAAGGCACCCCAGAGAGTCAGTGTTGTGGGCACATGGTGAAGAATTGACTCAAGCAGAAGCATTTCAATGCAATTTGAGAAACTAAAATATGTCAACTTCTCATTTAAAATTAAATAACCTGTCGAACCTTTTCAAGAGAATATCCACACAAAAATCAGGACAGTTGAAGCTTCCATGGAGTTATGTGTTGTTTTTTTTGATTATTCTGATTTTCTGTTAGAAAAATGGGTAAAAAAACCCACCCCGGGAGATTTATTACTAGATGAGAATTCCATTACTTAAACCAACTCTTATTTGTCTTCAACTATTCATCAAGAACTATGCCAGTTATGTAAATAATTACTTACAATGCTTGTAACACTCACAAAATGGTACATATTTCTGGATGATATCAGCAGTGTTATTTGTCTTGATATTTGCAATATCCTTAGAGAAGTACTATGACATAGAAATTCAAATCTATTACTGAAAATTACATAAATGAAATTTAGCTTGCACTTCTAAAAAAATACATACAAAGGTCTGAAAACACATTCCACTGTATCTAGTGACAGAGAAAAATTCCTGTTTCTTATAAACAAAAGATAGGTACCAATGCAATGCATTACACAGCACCAAGCTAGAAAAGTAATGGTTCTTGAAAATGAAGTTCTGTGAGAAAGTCATGAATCTTCCTCGAAATTTTATAAACAGTTCTGACACTGTGGACCAGAACTGTAAAAATATTTAGATACCTAAAAACGCAAATAGGCACCATAAGGAATTTTCATGTTCACTTCAGACTCTTAGCTCCTCCAAATACAAACACAGATGATTGATGCGCCTTGTCATTATCCATCTGTTAAAAATTGAGAGATGATGGGGAAAAATAAGCTTCTTGCTTACATTACTAAGAATGTTTGCCATTTTGTAGCAAGCAAAGCAATGCAATCAATAGCAATTAGGAACATTGCTGCATTTGGTGGTCCTCCCTAATGCCAAATATATCATTACTCGCTCAAATATCTTTACTAGTCTGGATCTCTCTTCTGTAACTAGCTCAGAAAAAAGAGAATAAATGACACATGCCATAAAATCATCACATTGTTTATGTTAGAGCTTAAAAGTGGAGTTAAGCCAATGGTTTGTAGAGTTACTGTAAGTAAAAGAAAGGAAGAAATGTCAAGAAAACCAAAAAAGCCAATCTGTAAATGCTTGTAAGAATCTCAGCAGGTGAGTAACTGAATGCATATCACATAGTTGGACTGAGTTGCTCTTTATTTTCAAGACAATGCAGAGATGTAAGAAATAAAAGCTTACATAAACTCGTGCTGCTTTCAAGTGCAGCTGTTCTCTTCATGTCATTTGTTATTGCAAGTTGTCAGGGAACAGTTCTTTTCACTTGCAGATAACTCTAGGAGATTTTTACAAAAGTAGGATTTGACAAAATGAAGAAAGCTGACCCACTCTGCTATTCACAGTACCACAGAAATACATTTAATCTGTATAAAAGCACAGTTAACTGCAACTGTGCCTCGGCAAGCCTCAATGAGTTTTTAAAAGAGGCTATAACAACTACCCCTTAATTAGAGCTCAGAGTATTTGTAACACTGAGACCACATTTGTCTTACTTATAACCATCTAAAAATTAGCTGCCTAATGCATTTCATACCAGCCTCTCTTTATCATTATCACTGACAGAGAAATTGGGGCATCACAGGCAAGTTATTCATCCCTACCTAAGACAAATACCTAAAGTATGTGACATAAGGAACCTTTTAAACCAGCCTTGCTTTCAACTGTCAGGAGAGGGAGCACAGGCAACTACCTTAGACAAGATGGCTAAAATTTAGATGGAGTCATTTATATCAGATGTGGTGGACTGGTCGCTGTCACTTTAACAGTACATATATATGTGCGTGTATACAACAAAAAGTGTGTGTGTATACCACAAAAAAGCGCCAAGATTTGATGAGCAAATCTGCATGACATCCCTATATTTATCAGAGTAAACATCAAGACAGATTAAAAAGGCCAGAGAGTTCAGTACATCATGGTTGTTTCCTCCCTTTGAACAGTTTGTTTGCTTTGCAGTTCGTGAAACGGGGATATAAAGACACTTACAGATTGATGGATCTCGATAAGATGACAGACACAGTCAGAAGGATGCAGCCACAGGGACCAATTTCAAACTGAAAAAGAAAAGGATTGGGTTTATTTTGCTTGTCATGTGCATTTTTTGTCCAATCTTAAGGAAATGTAAATTGAAACGAAAGCAGAAAGAATTGTTCTCATTTACGCTAAAATTTAATTTGTTGCTCTGATTGTTAAAATGCAAGGCACGTCCCTGTAACATTTATAGCAGTGTTCAGAAGGCATCACATGAGACTGATAAACACAGAAGGCTGGCAGCTGAACTCAAACAGGTTTAGTATCTTCTCTGTACACAGTACCTGGTGAATATTCTGCTGGAGAAATACAATCAGGTCTTCATATCTGGTGGCACTATGCAGTATTAGCTGCAAAGAAATATAAGAATTAAAACCAAAAGTAACTGAAACAATAACAACTCATTTTTACAACGTGGAAACCAAACTACAGTAGCCAAAACTTTAAACCTGACTGGGAAGATGAACTAACAAAATGGAATAAAGACCTAATAAAATCCACCTATTACTGTTGTAACTTGGTATAACATTGTACCTCAGCACTTCATATATTACGATTTTTTTTCCAGTTTTAGTTTTGTTGACCAGATAGTTGGATTCAATTTTAAGCATGGTTTATGGAATGAAAATCAACTCCTAAAACAAACATAGGAATACCGCAGCTTTACAAGATAGAGACTGGACAAGTAACTCAGAAATTTGTACCTATGTGGTGTGGTGAACCATCTATAGCATGCACATATCAGAGCTTCTTATCATACTCAGAGAATACTCCTATGAGTATTCCTATCTGACATGAAACTCGGGAGAGTTCACCAATCCAGGTCCTTACTTCAACACTCTTTGTCTATTTTTCCATCGTCAGATTTTGACGGGAATGATGGTCTTGCAGATATCGTGTGAGGAAAGATGAAGCAATCGAGATTATGTTCTTTTCCATCACATTTGTGGCTGTGTCCACATGATCTCTGACAATCAGTATTTAGAGGCAGCATAACAGTCTTAGCTGGACTCTGAAAGAGCCAGCAGTTCAGAATTGTGTTAAAATATTGATTAAATAATCTATCTTGCCTCTTGGAAGAGCATATTATAGCCAAGGTCTTCTGCTGCATTCACACTATATGATTTTCACTCCCAGTTGTTCCAGAACTGGTTCTGAAAAGCTGTTGACACATCCACCCTCCATTTAGGAGGCCAGTAATGTTTTCTTAAACCACTAAAGCCTGGATTATAGCATTACTGTTTGAGAGCTTCAGATGAAAATAAAGGTATAACGGGAAAGTATTTTGCCATTTGGAGCTCCTGGAGGTGAAAAAAAGGCAAATAATTCTGTGTAAGGCAAGAAGAAAATCCTGCTCATGGCCATGCTGGTCAACTTGAGAGGATCCACACTCACTTTAAGTGCATATCAGTAAAAGTAGGCACAGCTGACGATCTTGAAAGGTAGATGGAATAAAAAGGACTTCAGAGACTCCAACTGCCCAGAGACACTGGGATGACTCTGAGCCAGACAGACTATAGGATTTTATTATTGCCGACCAGTTTTTGGATCACAACTCACTAATATGACATAAAAGATTTTAAAGCACTAAGAGAGCAATGGAAATCAGATGCCTCACACTCAAAAAAGAAAAGCTAGAAGCAGGATATACAGAGAATGTTACTGTGAGGGTCACAGAGCCTTACAGTTTCTAAGATTCCATCTGCCTTGTATTTTCCCATGGGAGTGAACTGCTGTCTTCCTGATGGCCTGAAAAGGATATTCAGACAAAATCAATGCTCATGTCACCAGGAACAAAATGGCATTAAAGAGAAATGTCTTTGAAATTGCTACTTCTGTTTCGGGTTTGACAATGGACTTTTGTGTCCAAAAGCTTCTCTGTTATTTTTCAGTTATTTTAGTTGACCTAATAAAAGAAATGACCTATTCTCACAAAAACCATCTCACTTAAAAACATCACATAGGATCCAGTACAGTCAAAACTAGTGGTCAGATGGCTTGTGTACAAACAGCCTAACTGCACAGCATAAACTAAGTCACCAGTAGGCAGCTACAGCAAAGGGAAATTAATCCCGGCCATAATAGAATATCTTCCAGTACAAAATTGCTGGAGTAAAATTCCGCATCTGGAAAAATAACTCTTGGTAAAGATTTTGGAGGGATCTTAACCTCAAGGAAATCCATAGGATATTTCACAGCATTTTCAAAGAATTTCACTATTCTGTCCCAGCTATGGGACAGCGGAAATGACATTTTGCATTTCACCCTAAGCCATTCTAGACTGCAGAACTACATCTCACAAAACTTTCACCTTATAAATTACATACATACAAAAAAAGACACAAGCATAGGAGCATTGTGCAATAATTAAAACTGCTTCTCCTACTTACAGTGCCACAATTGCTTTTTCGTTGCCTCCTGCGCGCCACAGTATGTCTGCAATGGCCATGGTGAGGCATTTGGTCCTGTGAGCTTCTGAAGGCTGAAGACACCTGCAGTCCAGGAAATGCCAGAAACAGACCATTGCCAAAATTTGTATTGGGAAACTTACTTAGAGGGCAAACTGCCCCAATTCCAGCATACACAGATTCACAGCAGGTTTGTAGATAAAGGAACAAATGCATCGTCCTAGAGACTATTGAGGTGGTGCAATGCATAATAATGAGGCTCTGGCAAGTTGCCTCAGAAAAATGGCATTTCTCAGTTCCTTGTATAGTCAAGAAAGACAAGTTGGACAGCCAACTCAACAGTGTCCTGCGAGTTTAACAAGCAGTTAGTATTGTTACTGAGAAGACATACCAGGTATAAAGGTACAGTTGAATCTGACTTTTTTCTGAGGATTAAGTATCTGACTGAAATGCCACGAGAGCACTCACTGTGCACACAGTAACGAAGACTTCTCAGCAGTGGACTGCAGAGGTGACAAGAGGATGTGGTGCCGCTGTTCAGCACCTAAAGAACTCTAAAGAGGGAGACGCAGCTGAGGTTGCCCCTGGAATATGGGCTTTCTGAAACTTTTTTTTGAGGTGAACCACCTTAAATCTCATTTTAGGCATTTAAGAAGGTACCCTGCATCTTCCTGAAGATAATCAGATCCAGTGAATAGAGCTCTATCTAGAAGAGCCTCCTCTTTAGATTTTCAGTAAAACAAAGCGGCACGAAGGGTCAGTCCCTTCTGAAGTCAGAAGTAAAACAAATTTGAGGGAAGTTAATTCACCTAGGTCAGGTGTTAACAGCAGTGTGTTGCATCTGGGGGAATCTGGATGAGCTTGTGTTGCTCATAACGATGCTCAGACTGCTGTTATGGCTATTTAAGCCAAACAACTGTAAACTGGTAAATCTAAGAGATGAAATGCACAATCCCTACTAAAGATGGTGTCTGACTTATCAGGAATAACTAAATCAAAACTTATTCTCATTAAGAGCAATGGACCAAAATTAAGAGAAGAGTAAAGACCAACAACAGCAACAGATCTATAATCATACCCTGAAAACCAGTCTTCTAAAAGAAATAGTGGATGCTCATTCAGAATACATATTTATAACTGGTTGGACAAAAGAAACAGGTACATGTACTTTAGGGAACAATACTGTGTTGGCAACTAATGGGCAAGAGAAGCTCATTAGTCTTTAAATATTTAATATATTTTTAATATTCTGTAACAGGATTGCTTTATATGTTAAATAGGATTTTCAGTTTATAGGGGCCTTCATACTTTCTTTCTTAGGCTGCAGAGTGGAGGACTGGCAGATTTAAGGATAAAACCCTATATCTGTGAACCTGAAGAAGTGGACAACAGATCCATGCCCCTGTGAAAGCACAGAGTGGTAATTTTCTCTAGGGGTTTCAAGAATGGCAGGCTTTGAAATTCAGATATTATCAGTTTTAGAACGTTACCAGCATGGGAGATGATGTCAAAACTTGTTCCCAGCATTTGAGTAAAAGATCTAATAATTCGAAAGACTAAACAAGAAACACCAAACATCAAAAAAATTAAATAGACTTTCAAGTTCAATGTCTGCATTGAATATAATGTTCATTAAGAGAATGTTTCCCTCTCTGAAGGATGTGAGATATGGGAAATAATTGGTGAGAGTTTTCAAGTAATAAAAATATAATTGTAACTTTCTCTTATCTCTGCCTGTGTTCTAACATAGACACTTGGAAATTTAGGGGAAGCACAGCATCTAATTTACGTGTCTGAGAGAGGTAACAGAGTAAGAAAGAGGCATAATAATTATTTCTTGAACGTCGAAGAAGCCTGAAGTCAAACACTTACTGTGAAGTGGCTAGTAACTTGAAATTCAGGTTAGAATGAAAAAGGAATATTAATCCTCTCATTTCAAGCTCTGAGACTTCCCTTTCTCTCTGCCTGCCTAAGAGTTTCTGCCCATGGCAAACATGTCATAGGAAAAATATGTTTATCTCATGAATAAAACAGTCCCTCTTGCTATTCATTTTTAGGAGCCTGGAGGATTTTAGCATTTCTGTGCATAAAGACAAAGAGTTCACCTGCTAACCTGAAATTCCTTGGAGACTTCCCGCATACTTTAGCAGCATTTTTCATATATGAAATATGTAAAAACAAAACCTTTTAAAACCATGCGGATGATACCAGGGGAAAAATAGGAGAGGCAAATATTGCCAAGTGACCAGGATAGGTTGTAGCTGGCATGAGCTGGGACCCTTACAGTTCAAATAATTTGGCCTCAATCCACTTATTTGGGTGCTACATAATTTTATGACATTTACGATCACTGAATCATATTGAAAGAGGAAAAGATTAATATCTCTATTTTTACTAAGGATGACCTGAGACTCAGAGGCACTCAGGAGCAAATGATCAAAGGCTGTTCTTGAAGCTGAAACAAATTATTGGTTTTCACAACCAGAAATAATTCTTTGCTGAATTCTGTGGAGATTCCTGGTCATAAAATCTATGTATGTACTGATTTTCTTGCATGGAAGTTCCTCAGTTTTTTTATTTCACGTGGACAAGTGCTTCATCCTGCCTTGAAAACTCTGCTCTCATTATAATCTGAATTAGAATAACAAAGTTTTGCTTGCTAATTTTTGCACTTTTAAAAAGTGTGCTCTGAACAGCAGGCTCTTGATATGATTTACAGACAGATGTGACACACTGAAAAAACAGAAGACAAAAACTGCACGATGTTGGAGAATTAACTTGACATTACACTCTGCACATTATTATAATACCCAGAATGTAGTGCACTCTGCACATGTATTATAACACTGACTCTATCTCTTTATCAGTCCACGCTAATTGCCTTTAAGTGACTTTAATGAACAGGACGTTGTCAAGTAACGAAATCCTAGCATCTTGTTTATTTGGCCCTTGCCTTGGGGTAAGCAAGCAACCAAGTGCCAATAACAGCAACAGCAGCAGCAATAGTAAATCTTTCCATATTGTATTTAGGCTTTAAGACTGGTTTTCAACATTTCTAATGACTTACTAGATGTCTCGTATAAAGACTGGTGCTCCTGGACCTGGGCACTCTTTGTGGACCCCCTAGGGCCTGGTAATCCTTTGATTAACTCTCACCTCCCATCACGGCTGCTGAAGACAAATAATGACAAGGAAGTTGGACTAGATGATCTCTAAGGTCCCTTACAGCCTAGGCCATTCTATGATGTTTTGTAGGTGCCTGTTTCTTTTCATTATTGATGAAAACAGCCCAAACAATGATTTTATATTAAGTGCCAGTCAGCCAAAACCAAGGAAAACTAAGAGAACCTGTCACTTTCCTAAACAGTTCCAAGTGGAAAAGGGAACGCTTAAGGAAAAATTTTAAACACGATGAACATTTTTACACTGTAAGGTAATGAATTCAAGAAAAATCTGTGTGAAAGCTTTTCTTCTGACTAAATTGAGATCAGTGTATCACCCAAAAATAACACAAGGTGGTGGCAGCCTAAATCAGTAAAATACTATTAACTCTATTCAACAAACTGTACCTATAAAGCACAGGAAAGCTTTGGGCAATTTTTCTTTTTTATAATGGGCTTAATTTCTTATTGAAACCAAAACGCAAATATAAGAAATCTGTTAATAAAGTAATTTTTTTTAGATATTATTTTCCAGCACTTTGCTGAATAAGCTCTGTTACTTTAGCAAAGTGACAAGCACATTAATATCACAGCAGTCCAAGCAGTTTTCCTTGACACTAGCAATACTTAACACGATTCCTTTAAAGTAAGTAGAAAATAAACACATAGAATTTAAACTGAAATTCTATCAAGGAATTTAACTGTGATAAATAAAACAAAGTAGCAAGAAAAAAACCTTATAGCAAGAAAAAAACCCTTAATTTTTCACTCTCTGAGATTCTTAGTGTCAAAAACTGCATGATTTTCATGGTCTTTCAAACGTTGATTACATTTTTTTTGAAATCTTATCTCCATAGGATCTCAAGGTTAAATAATTTTCATGGGTCTCGATTCAAGCTGCTGGATTTTTTTTAGATTAATCACAAGCAAGTAATTATACAAATAAAACACTAACCTCTAAATTCCTACAGTTGTAAGTAAATGCAAGTAAATCATATACTGTTTTCTCCCTCTTAGAGACAAAGAGAAGTTCAATAAGTTCAGACTCAGAAGCCTCCTGACTAGCTGCAGCAGAGGCAGATTTTTTTCACATCTCCATGGAAAATATTTCCAATGTCAGTTGCTGACTTACCGTGTGTCTTTATTCCTGTTACTGTCTGCAAAGATAAGCTGCTGTAGGACACAAGCTTGAACCGCAGCCAGTACTCCACATGGGCCACCCTGAGGGGAAGAATGGGACATCCATGAGCAAAACAATTTGCACTGGATGCTGGTAAAAACTTTTGCAAGGCATGAGCTTCCATTCAGGCTTTAGACATTCTTTCACCTCCCTCTTTCTATCCATGATTTTGCAGGACATTCTGTTGCTCTATTTTTTTTTTTAGCAAGCCAATGAAAATCAGTGTTACTAACTGGTTTTGTGTTTTAAAGTCCTTTTTTCTGAAAATGTACAGACATCTGTAATGCCAAAGGAAGGCTTTTTTAAAATTTATTCTGTGATTATAAACAAATGAAAAATCTCCCAATCCCTACAGCACCTCAGTTTAGCTGAACTTCCAGAGAAAAATCAAACCTGACTGTTTTCCAAAGGGTGAAAATAAGCCTTCCTCTTTTACCTTCTCTGAGCACTGTGCCTCCCCTCAAGCTCTCACTTATATCACTAAAGATTTGAGGTTTGTGTACAGCCCTCTGCACCAGGCAACTATCTCAGTGAGGACGAGAAAGAAAACGAAGGAAGTCTGAACCTTTTAAATGATAATATTGGGGAAAAATCACAATACCAACAAATACCATATTAACTTTAAACTTTACAGAAAACAGACTTACAGCTGTTTTGAAAGACTGTGGGATGGAGTAGCAATGTACTTCATTCTCCTTGCTTACTCCCTGCCATCTAGCCCAACTGACCCAATTGTGTGACCAAGACCTGTTCCCACAGGTTAACTTTACAGCAGAGACAGCTGTACAAGTTGTCCTGAAGCGCACATGGTATGCCCTCTTCTAGTCTAGAAAACTTCATCCAGCATAACTCTCCTTCCTCTGTCACTCAGAACTCTCCCAGGTGGCTCATATGACATAATTTACTCAAGAAGTTGGCTGAAGAGGCAGAGAAAAGGCATTATTCGTCTGGAACGAATGCATGAACGGAGGAGGGAATGAAGGACACAAGATTAACAACACAGATACCACAATACCACACATCACACGGGCAGTGCTGGGAATGACCACAGGTTAACTGAGGATTCAGCATATTAAATCCCACAGATGCTGCCCCATGTGTCAGCATATGCAGCCATTCTTAGAAATGGGTTCATTCTCAATATTGGGAAGTCCATTACCTTAACATAGGTCCACCCTAAACACTGCTTTATCCTGTCTCGTATAGGCTGACATGGCAGCGCTAACTTTGTCTGCCCAGTGCTAACTTTGTCCAGCCAGGTACCCAGCAAGTTTTCTGGAGAGTCTGTGTTCCCATTTGAAGCTCTGCCAAAGTCTACACTGCTTTTACTCTCTCATACTATGAGATTAATTCAGGATTGTGTTGCTTTCATACACTACAGTTGCTCCTCTGGTTTCCTCTGTAGATCATGACCAGGCTGTGGTGAACTAGCTTAGGATCTGTCAAACTCTTAAAACCCTGGAGGAGAATGAGAAGTGCAGCCAGCATTGCTCTTTTCAAGTAGCAATGTGATCAAAGGAATCATTTTCATCACTGAATCACAGAATTGTTTTGATTGGAAAGGACCTTTAAGATCATCAAGACCAACCATTATTTAACACTACTGTGTCCACTTCTAAACCATGTCCCTGAGCACCATATCTAAATGGCTTTTAAACACTCTCAGGTGGCATTAAGCCCAAGGGAACAGGACGTTGCACAGTATGCAAAGTAGAAAATAAAGGTCCTGCAATCAAGAAAATAGCTTAGATATTGATACTTTCCATTTTGTCATTTATATTACACATACACTAAGGCTCTGTAATTACTTACATAACTAACAAGTGAATTATCCGAAATATATTAAGGAAGAAAAGCACGGTTTGTTTCATTCCACTAGAGAAAGCCTCTCAGTTCAAAAAAAAAAAAGGAACCATTCTAAGTATCTTACAGCACCACAGAAAATTAACATAAGAGAGAATCAACAATTGCTCAACTGAAGTGAATTTTGGGTGTGAGGAGGAATATATTAACTACTTGGAATAAATCCATCGAAGCAAAATACTCCAGTTTACCATTCTTGTTGTGGAATTTACTGTAGGGAATTTAACAGCCAGTGAGCTGCTAGAAGTGATGAGACATCCTTTCCCTAGAAGCACGGTCTGGAAACATCAAAGTAACATTTACCGTGGATCAGTGAACATTACTGCCAGGGCTCCTTTTGGAGTTTAAATTAACATTTAACATATTTTTTCCACAAGATTTAACTTAAACATACGCAGCTTTCTTCTGAGATTATCAGCCTAACGAAATATTTACTTGACAAGGTAAGGTAATTAAGTATCTTAATGACATGTTTATTAGCCGTTGTTCTTGGCCCAAAGCCTCCCTTCCTATCATTTCTTCATAGCACATGATGCTCTGCCTCTCTCAGGCCTGACAAAGATTTTCTGCATCAGTGAGGAGCTCGATGAGTGTTTTATAAAGAGTTTATTCTTTCTCTAGTCTTCAATGAAGTCCTCACTTCCTTGCTCTCAAGAGAAGAGAACTGCTGCATAGATATCCCAGAAGCGTATTTACAGAGTCCCAGGGTAGAGGCAAAAGCATTAACCTGCAGCACTTTTACAACGGCTCCATCTGATTTTGGAGGCAGCTGAACATCCCGTGCCCTGCGTTTGGTCCCTGGTCCGAGTCCACACATTAGCCCTCTGGGAAACCAGGCTGTCCAGCTGCGTGCAGCACACAGAGCTGAGGGACAGGGTGAAGCACAGCAGTCTGTAAGAGTCTGGTGCCCAGGCAAGGTTGCCAGGACAGACACCAGATGAGTGAGTCTCCCACTGAATGCTTTAGACCAGAAAGATCTTTGTAAGCACCAAAAACTTCTATGGACTGGGTACTTGCTTTCCAGGCTGACCCTAGTCATGGCATCATGCTTCTACCAGCTGCGGTCACCACAGGGACCTGCTGGGAGGATTTTAGAAAGGGCCACCTGATAGAAGATGCCTGGGAATTGCTAAAACCTGTGTTTTAGGAAGGAGCTGACATCTTGTGGCTGCAGTCCAGAATTACAGCACCATGGCTTCAACAGAGGTGGTCCCACCAGCAGCCCGTGTCCCAGTCCCAGTGACACTGCAGGGGCACTTACTCTCTTTTAGTTTAGGAATGAGACTATCATGGGACCCACATAACTTTAAGAAGTGAAAAACTCCTTGCAGCTTCCCAGACACTGCAGGCAATTCTTCACATCTTAAACTTGTTAAACTCTGGCCCAATATCTCTTTTCTCTTCAACTCCACCCTTGACTTATGCCTTTATATTCTTTTATCATCACTAGCTTTCAGCTGAAGTGGCTTGTCTTCCTCCCTGCAACTAAATCCCCATCACACATACATGCACACTTTCTGTAGCTGCTCCCTCAGAAATATTCCATCCATCTCAAGTCTCCTATCAGGACCTTGCAAGGTGGCATCATCCAGTAGTAAGAGAAGAAGTTAAAGACAAGAGCTTTTAGAAATCCCTTTTTTTTTTTTCTTTTTCCCACTGCTGAAACACACAGCCTTTGTAAATTCAGTCTAAAAAGCAAAGATCAGTTTAAGGAAGTAATTTACAGTACCTTTTTTTGCACAATGCCATATTTCAACTGTGGTATGTTATTAAATGTAAAACTCTGTATTTTCCATTCTTCACTGAAGCAACAAAGACTAGAGCCAAACAAAAGATTTTTTAATTCCTATAAAAAAAAGCAAAGAAAAAAGTTTTTATTTTAAAACCAAAACACAGGTACATTTTCTTGCAGTAATTTGTAGAAAAGAAAGGAGGAGTGTGGAAAGGTAATGACTAACTGACTATAACCACTCTCTTCTGTTTTATACATACTGTAAATAGCAACACTCAAATGAAAAGGAGCAATTTTTTCCTTTTCCTGCAATATTCCTTCAACTCATAATGCCATGTGCTGCTCAGCACAGGAAACTGTTTATGAAGATTGTCTGGGGCAAAGTTTCCCATGAAAGCATCACAGAATATTACCTTAAATTTAACAGTGAGAAGAGCAACTCCTACTAACGGTTACATTACAGAGAAAAGGACCCTGCTGGATACAGTATGGAGAAAAGACAACTTGTTTTGCCTCTCAGAGTTTCTGGTACAACATAAAAGTCATTCAAATGTTTGTCTGCTGTATGTCAGATGCCAAATCCAGATCTTGTCGCCAAGGAACTGCAGACCACTACTGCTCAGGAACAGCTAAACTAAAGAAATTATATTCATGCTAAAGTAAAGCTACAGAAGACCAGGCTGCTCAATGTTTGTACAGTTACTTAGACTACTTTGATCTAGAAATTAAATTGGACAGCCTCATTATCTTTTCTCTGTTTTTTTTTTGTCTTAATAGGAATGGAATTATTAAAAGTATTTAACAGAACCATCCCTGCTCAAAGGAAGATAAGCAAGAGAGAAGTAGTGATGGGGAATAATAAACTTGTTCTGAGCCACTGTCAGTTTAAAGGACTGGAGAATAAGCACATGAAGAACTGACTAGAAGCGTTAATAAAATAATACAAGCTTCATTAATTAATCAGTACTTCAAGTGGGCTGATGTGTTCTGGCATGCTCTTCTGGTATTTTTCTGATTTTAGAGAGGCATCTTTACATTACTTTTTCACCTGAATACTAAATAAGGAATATATTCAGGAATGATTACAATATATGTTAAATCACACACAAACATGCAACCCAGAGCAATCCATTGCAGCTTTGACTAACTTAACTGAAATAACATCCTTACACTTCTATATGTATTTACCATCATAGTTAGTCTTACTTTTGCAAGAGAAATATCAATTGCCTTTGATATTACTTGAAACATATACAGTGTTGAAAGATCCGGGTTCTTACTAACTTCTCCAGCTGTTTCTTCATCCTCAACATCAACTGAAATAAAAAAAAGTAAAATCTTCTAAAATGTGTTGGCTCAGTGCCAGGATGTCATCGCTACGACAACACTTTGTTGTCATCCGCCTTTATAAAAAAGAAAATATAGTTTTAACCAGAAAGAACAGATAAAAAAATACAGGAGACAACTTTAGTCTGATTACTTCTGAACGACTTCTTTACACAGTCTTACCCAAGAAGTTAATAGCAAATACAATTATGCCGAATCAGCTAAGAGTCAAAGAAGTAACTTTTATGTATTTGGTTATAGCTGCTCTGAAGAACACAACAACAAAAGCCAACCTGAATCTTGACATAACTTACCTAATTCTAAGACATCTTTAATCTGGTCTTCTTTATAGCAAGTGGATATTGGAAACTTCCTACAGCAAAATAAATCAAAAAAATGAATTACTAAATGTTCACTTTTAAGAGAAAAGTTGTTTGAATAAACAAGAATTACGGAGTATGCCCACACACAGATGTAATTTTTTACGTGTACGTATATATATGTATGTATGTATGTAAATACACAGAGAGAGGGTGGGTATGTGGGGGTATGTGTGAAGAGAGAGATAATAAAAGACGCAAATAGATAAAAAACATATTCAATGGCCTTCATCTTCAGCTTTTAAAATGCTCTAGACAGAGGAACTCAGTCTCACTAACAACTCTGTATTAAGAAATAAATGGTGCTGGAGGAAAAAGATTTTCAGTGGAAGAAAGCTGAACTTCAGGAGCTCATCAGGAAAAGCAGCGAGCGCAGAGCAATATGCTGCCCTTGATTCAGGATTTCAGTCCTGTTTCAACATCAGTTTCCTTTAAATTGTGTGATTTCAGTACATGTCAAGTTCTGCAAGATCATACACAGGAGCAGGTTTTACACTGTCCTGAATTTCAAGGGAGGATATTCATGTATATGTGACATTTTCTGAGTTCAAAGGCTCAGGACACAAAATAAAACTTACATCCCTGATGGGGATCAGGATGAGATTCAAATTAGTCCTTAAACTATGTAAAATATCCAAATAATATAAGTGGGAATAGTTATTTGACTGGCTTCCTCTACCAGGGTAATTCTTTAATCCACTATCAGGTAGCAGTTGCTCAACTGCCCTTGAGATTTTATTGTATAATACACAAATAACAGGTTAAAAACTCATCTAAACAACAACTAAAGGGACTAAGCCTTTAAACTTGGCTGTGAAATCAGAACTGAAATAGAACGTTAACTTTTTGGAGATGAGGAGGTTTATTCTCCCTGTTGAATACATACCAAAATGAACTCAGAACCAAGGAAGAGTTTCAAATAACTACTGTAAAAAGACGGTGTTTTCTTTTGTTAAAGAGCAATACTGCATCATTGGCCTTGGCTTTGGAAAAAAGGTATTGCACTGAGAGTCCTTTCAAAAATAGTACGGAATAATTCCCTCAGCAACATCCTTTGTATGCGTGACATTATTGTAGCACTAACCACTGTCATATCACATACTTTCCATTAACTCAATTTCCTTTTTCAGTGTGAAAGATGAATAAAACCTGAACACAAACATACCACACTCACAATTTTTCCAGTTTAAAAGCGCTTTTGCACCTTTCACACTGATAGTCTTTGATACCTTAACAAACGCTTCTCTTTTTCTCTACAAGTTCAGGTATTTAACACAATGAAATGTGGATGGCCACAATTCAGAAAAGATAGAATGGAAATGAATCATCCCTGTTAATATGCACTTGAGGTAAAAATAAACAGGATGCCCAGGAGGTCAATACCAATAAGAGGATAAATTCTATAGTGGCATAAGTAGTACTGAGCTCTCACTGAATATAACAGTACTTCCAATGTGATTAGAGTTTAATATAGTTGACTGTGGTATATTCTAATATACAATCAGATCTCCTCTTGCTTTTTGCTAATACTGAATTTCAGCTGAGATATCTTTCTGCTAGCTGCTTGCTAGCATTTTCTCCACACCTAATCGGGGAAAGGGTCTCAGTGACATGGAATTTGCCAATAAAATGTTTTTCAGCCAAGTACTCTAGTCTCTTAACTGCACTTAGAAAAATATTTATTTTTTTTAATTTTGTCTGAGATTGCACACTACCGTCTCTTGTTTCCTAGAGAATAATGTGTTTCTTCCCAGGTCAACCCATTTCAAACCAGTTTTGCAAAAACAGAATGCAGCACTAAGAATGCAACTCTGAAGAATGCAGAGCTCTTAAGAATGCAGCACTCCAGGTTACAGCATCCTACCTGGCCTCAGCTGTTTCCGAAGAGTCTGGGTCTCCTCTTGGTACTGTATCATATCTCCTAACTTCAGTAGATGGCTTGGATACCTTAGAGTCTCAAATTGCACTATATATCTGCTTTTCAGCAAGTGTATAACTCTCTACATGAAATTAGCACCCTTGATTAATTTTTCTCCCAAACACTTCTCCTCAGTAGTGTTTCATCTGAAAAGATCTATACAGGAAAACAAAGACAACTATGGCACAATTCTTACATAGCTCACCTGGCCCCAGGTTTTGCAACATGATTGCTTTCTGGAAAATCTAAAAGATTTTGGTTCGACACCTATTCCAGGAAAAAACAAGCCTGTGTTGCAAAGTACTTAGAATTCTCAAGCTGTAAGGAAATTCCCATCCAGCTGAGGAAAGTGCTGACATCAGAGATTGATGTAGGGTATTTTCTGATTAAGTGGGGGATACTCACAGGTATAGGTTCCCTCCTTAAGGGGAACTCATGTTTCTCAAAACACTGTCAGGACATTTATTGCAATTTCCATTTCAGCAGATGGTTACGGTTCCAGGAAAATATATTGTACATGTAAAACCATACAGTTAAAATACTTAGGAAGAGGGAAAACATCTGTCATGGCAGAAAAATGGGACAGGAAGAAAATATGTTTCATTGTAAACATACTATACAGTCCTTTCTCTAAATATTTGAACTTTCCCATCTGATCTTCATGTATTGTAGAAAACTGAATTTATGCACAATAGCAAACTTGCACAGAAATCACTTCTCAGCACAATAATGCATGTACATTCCACTACTTCCTATTTATACTTCCATACACAAGACGTCAAACAAACAAAAGGACTTAAAAAATAAACACTGGTCATCAGTGGCTTTAGGATGACCATGCTGGTAAAACTTATTTTCACTGCTTGATTACAACACTGGATCTATAGCTTTTCTGCATAATAACTTAGTGTTGGAAGGATGCCTAGAAGTCGCAGCCCAATCCTCTGGTCTAGTGCTGTTATGCCACATACAGATATATACATCATTTTTGCTGTAGTGACTAAGATCTGGAGAATAAGTAATAAAAAAATTAGACTCTCTTACTCTTTGCAAAAAGGTAAACAAGGTCAGTATTTGCAATGCAGCTCATCACTGCTTTGGGACAAAATTATAAAAATGGAGCTCATATTACTGGTTTATATTCAGCTTTTCATCCACCAACATCCCTCCAAGTCCTCCTCCGCAACGTTGCTCTCAATCCACTCATCCCCCAGGCTGTATTTTCTTGGGGTTGCCCTTACCCAAATGCAGAACCTTGCACTTGGCCTTGTTGAACTTCACAAGGCTGGCACGGCCCCACTTCTCCAGCCTGTCCAGGTGCCTCTGGATGACATCCCTTCCCTCCAGCGTGTTGACTGCACCACGCAGCTCAGTGTCATGGGCAAACTTGCTGAGGGGGCATTCGATCCCTCTGTCCGTGTCACGAAAAAAGGTGTGAAACAACACCAGTCCCAATATCAACCCCTGAGGAACACCACTCATCACTGGTCTCCACTTGGACATCGAGCCATTGAGCACAACTCTTTGAGTGACCAACTAAGAGACCAGGTAAAGCCTTGAGAAGGATTCTCAGACTTAACACTCAACCAGTTCTCACCAGTGGAGGTGAATATAAGCCTCTGTCCTCTTTGTCATACGTAAAGTACCCACTCTGTCTGGTTTTGGCCTTCAATTTTTAGGCCATTTATTTTTGAGGAGGACAAATTTTTCCTGCCTTACTTTTCCTGTCAGAAACCTCACGTTTTTACCAGTCCAAACTGTAACCTGAAAGATTTTAGCAAAATAAATTATCTTTCTGAAAGCTAATATCAAGTGTTACATTGGAAGAAGGAAAAAAGCTTATACCAAGTGGGGTAGCTCTCTTATTTTATTATAAAAAAGGGTGAATACGAATAAAGGCCTATTGATCAGCACATGTACTGCAGAGATAGATTCTGCCTCCTGCTAATCTTAGCGGTAGTAAAACATAGGAGAACAACAATTCTTTGTGCTACCTGCAAACAACTGATAGTTTTTAGGGGGCAGGTAATTTCTTGTGCTGCTTTTCACTGTGCTCCTCCCTCGATGCTCATATGCTCACTCAGTGAAAGGAAGCTCTACCAATGAAATAGGTTCTTGCTTTACATTTTAGAAGATCTAGAGTCTCTCTGTGTTTGCATGAACAAGGCAAATTCTCAACCAACTGAACGCATTTCAGGCAATGGGCTGGACGCTTCCAGTTTTACATCCTTTCCAAAAATAAAGAAATGATACAGAAGCCATTTGTCATTTCCAGTAATTGCAAAGTGCTTCTTCCTATGGAGTGCTGGAAAAATACTAAAAGGGCAAATGGCAGCACACACTGATGTTATGTCGAAGGCTCTGATGCCATAAATCTGTTGGCACAAAACAAAAGTCACAATAGTTTATTACTTTTATTTTAGGTTCTTTTTTCCGGTCCAGGCACTATGTTATAAAAGGTGTTATACAAGTCCAGACCCTTGAAGGTTTTCCCTACTGAGTGATATGGCAACTACAGCCTCTCTTTTTATATATTGGCCAGTTAAATCCATATTCCCCAAAGATGAATCCATCTTCTTTGACTGTCATTCTTCCCATTGACCACCTCAAGAGTCAAATAAAGACTTATTCCCAGGTTGGCAGCTGAAGACACTCTGGGAGGGTTTGGTTAGTTTCTCAGGGAAGGTGCCAACTGCTCTATTCTTACTGTGCTTCCTTCCTACAAAGCCACACCGACATACTGACGAAAGCCTGACACGATACAATGCGTTGCTTCATGTGGCTTAAGGACAACGCCTGGTGCTACTCACCGACTGCAAACAGACAAAGACGGAAGGAAACATGCAAAGGTAACTTACTATTAGGCTGCTCCCACTCTGCTTTCCTTTCCGCTCTTTTATCTGAAATGTTGCACTCTGACTAAATTGCTATTTCCTAGAAATGCCACCGTTGCCCAATACATCCTCTTCCTCTCACAGAAGGGAAAATTTAATGAATTCCTCAGACGTTGCTCACACACACTGCATGTCACTGAGTATGCTGGCATATACTGAAATCAGTCAGGGTTTACTGTCTGATTTTAGTCAGGCTCTAGTTTATATGAATATGGCCATCTGAGCTCAGACCTCATTTCAGAGAACAGGCTATCAAGGCGATAAGTACTTGTAGGAAGTGTTCAACATCTCACAGGAACAAAACTTTATTACTTACCAAAATGCCAGATACTATTTTAGACAAAGCAATCTCACCCAACACACCGATTTTGTATATAACAGTGAAATATTACAGCCCACTGGGCAAACTGTACAGAATTCACCATTCCTAGAAAATCTATTTTAACACCAAAAGGCACAGTAGAAGAGCCAATAATAAACGTTGGGTAAATAATATACATTACATAACTTTGCCAAAACTACTTTCTCTTTGACTTGGAAATTCAATTTTATTTTAAAAACACAATAAGACTGGAATGTTGATTAGTATTCTGCATGAAATCTGACATTCATATAATAACCATCACTAGGTGCTGTATTTTCCTGTTTTAGTGACAGCCCGTGTATAAAAGAGGGCAGCTGCTTCAGCTCTCTTATTTCTGCCATGAGTTCAGAATCACAGAGTTGGAAGGCAATTCTGGAGCTCACCTAGTCCAACCCTCTGCTCAGAGCAGGTTCAACTGCAGCAAGTTGCTCAAGGCCACGTCCAGTCATGTTTTGAGCATCTCCAAGGATGGAAACACCAGAGTCTCCCTAAAAAAACCTGTTCCAGTATTTCCACCCTCACAGGAAAAAAGTCCTTGATCACTTGTGTCATCAGTGCACCTGGAAACCTCCTGGATTGCTTGTGCTCCGCTTGGGGCTTATGCTGATGGAGTAGATGTCAAATCCAGCTCTGAACTTGCTCAGAAACTCATGGCCAACATTGTCTGCCAATGTTCTAATGTAAATCAGCACAGCTTGCGGCCAGAAATTACACAGGATAAAAATGTATGCGAAGATCTTGGCAGTTTTAGGCATTCAATCATGTATAACTGACAGGTAGAGGCTTGGTCCTTGCATAGAAAATAAGCTTGTTTATTCCTGTTAATAACAGAAAGCACGAATATTAATCCTTTAAGGAACATAATACTTTAAAAATAATATTCTGAAAGCCTCAGCTATCTAAAAGAATACAAAAAAAATCCACCCTGCATACATTTTTAAAGGACTTGGAGGATTTCTTGGAAGAAGACTAGTATTTTGTTTTCCTCTAGGGATCTCCTATCTTCATAAAATGAATTTTCAGGGACTTTTTGTTGGAATATATGAAAGGGAAGAGGCAGGAATTTTGAGTAACACAACGTGTTCACCTGTACTGGTCTCCATTTAGGATGAGGAAAGCCATAGGTGGTCCAGAAAGCAAAGTAAAGCTATTCACACCTTGTCAGTCTTACATAGAAATGCAGGGAGGTGAAGGGAGGTACTTTTTCTATAGGAATACGTGATGATGGTCCAGAAAGCAAAGTAAAGCTATTCACACCTTGTCAGTCTTACATAGAAATGCAGGGAGGTGAAGGGAGGTACTTTTTCTATAGGAACACATGATGAGGGTCCCACAGAAGATTAGAATGACTTAATAATTTTACTGTAAGGGGCATTTTGGAGGAAAATACACTAAAACACTACGGAGACATTTTGCACCCAATGTGTGTGAAACTGCAAACAAGAAGGCAAATGATGCCTGTGATCAAACTGCAGTGACAAATGGGCTCAGGTGATTTTATAATGCTGAGAATCATGCCATGAGCAGTAGGTGACTGTTCTTACCCTGTATCAGTGAGAGTCATAGTGTGACAAAGTTAGAGCAGTCTCTAAATACAGGAAGAAACATAAAACAAATCAATAAAACTTAATGGAAAAAATAACAGCAAACTTTCAGAGCTGGAAAGATACAAACAGAAGAAGACTACATAAGCTTTAAGCAAAAAAATGCCTAAAGAAACATGAAGAATGTTTAGAAATATTTTAACAGAGGCAAATATGTAGCAAGAAACAGAAAGATCAGTCAAAAATCAACTCCAGCTATGGATAACACAGAAGAAAAAAGGAAATTCAAGGTGAGTATGAAGGAAAAATTCCTAAGGTTAAGGACTGCTAGACACTAGAATATATTCTCAAGGGAGAGGTGTCACTTGAGTAATTTAAGGCTGGACTAGACGAAACCCTGGAAAAAAGAATTACAACAAATACATATATATAGTAATGAATAATCTGCCATAGAAACAAATGACCTTAAAATGTCTTTTCCGTCTGTAATTTCTAAGATTCTGTGAAACATGAGTAATGTTCCACTAAGGAACTTGGTATCTATGGCAATTCACTAACCCTACCCTATTTGTGCTAGATTGTAGACCACTGCTAGCAAAGAAGGCTTATTATCAAAGAATGAGTGATATTTTGGGAACCATTAAAAGGTGCCCAGCGAAGGTGAACTCAGTTGAGAGACTACTGCCGGAAGAGAAATTCTGGCTCTGGCCCTGGCTTTCCTGGTGGTGGAGATGAAGTGCATCAGAGATACTTGGGTTTTGTTTGGGAAAGGTGTCTGAGGCCAAGCTATACAGTCGTAAACAGTCCCTACTGTCTGGAATATCCATCTGCACTGGCAGACTTCTGAAAGGAAACCACTAGCTCACAGTCAGTTTGTAGCCAAGACTGATGGCAAGGCAAAGGAGAGCATGGCAGACACAATTAAAAGAACCGGATAAGTAGGATGATCGTTCACAATGAAAAAATGAATGAAGGATCCATCACCTTTCTTGCTCCTGGAACTGTATTCTAGGTCTCTGCCTTTGGACACAGGGATCCACTGCTGTATCCTTTTGCTCGCTAATGGCAGGAGGAAATTTTTGTTCAGATGGAATGATATTCTCATTTCTTTTTTGCCTTTCCGATAGCTGTTCCTTTTTAGTTCCTATGAAATCGGAGAGATCTCCTCAACTTCATGTTCTGACTGCTAAGAAGTCCTTTTCTTCCCATGATTCACAGAGTCACAGAATGGCAGGAGTTGGAAGGGACCTCTGAAGATCATCAAATCCAACCCCCCTGCCAGAGCAGGATCACCTAGAGGAAGTCACACAGGACCACGTTCAGGTGGGTTTTGAATGTCCCCAGAGATGGAGACTCCATAATCTCTCCGGGCAGCCTGTTCCAGTGCTCTGTTATCCTCACAGAAGCATTTCCTTATGTTTAGTTTGAATTGCCCCTTGCCCTGTCACTGGACACAACTGAGAAGAGTCTGGCCCCAACTGCCTGACATCCACCCTTTAGATATTTATAAGTATTGATGAGATTCCCTCTCAGTCTCCTCCAAGCTAAACAGACCCAGCTCTCTAAGCCTTTCCTCATATGGGAGATGCCCCAGTCCCCTCATCATTTTGGTCCTGCCTGGACTCTCTCCAGTAGTTTCTTGTACTTCTTAAACTGAGGAGCCCAGAACTGGACGGAGTACTCCAGGTGAAACCCCACCAGGGCAGAATAGAGGGGGAAGATGATCTCCTTGGACCTTGGCTACACTCTTCTCGATGCAGTCCAGGTTACCACTGGCCTTCTTGACCAGGAGGACACATTGTTGGCTTATGGTCAGCCTGTCGCTCATCAGGACTCCCAGGTCCTCCTCCCCAGAGCTGCTCTCCAACAGCTCAGCCTCCAACTTGTAGTGATAGGTTGTTCTACTCCATATTCAGTACTTTACACTTCCCCTGACTGAATGTCATCAGGTTTCTCCCCACCCAGCTCGCCAGCCTGCCCAGGTCATGCTGGAGGACAGCACAAGCCTTCTGGCATGACAGCCACTCCTCCCAGTCTTGTGTCATCAGTGAACTTGCTGAGGATACACTCTGTCCCTCCATTCAGGTTGTAGATGAATATATCACATAGGGCTGGACCCAAAACTGACCCCTGGGGGACAGTTTTACACTTTTTTGCTGTCATCGCTCTGATTTTAGTTTCTATGCTATTTTTCTTGGCATTGTGGGAGGCAGGGTCGTGGGCTTTATCCATGAAAACTAGGTCAAATATCACAATACGTTGTTACCTTTCTTAACTACCAGCAGTGAGACTGAAGACAAGAGATAACACCTACCCATCTAACCCAGCATAAGGTAGCTCCACTACTCTGGAGAACTGCCCAGTCAGAATGCAGCTCGTTAGCTCATTTAGAAAATATTCAGCTGAGAACTGTAGGGTTTTCACATCTCTATCACACCTTACACTGACAGAATTAAGGGGTATGGAAAATTAGGAGAGCCCTTCACTTTCAGTGGCTGCACAAGCAACAGCTGTAGTACATCTCTGTAGCTGAGCCAAAAGAACTATTTCTCAACTACTGCAAAGTGGTTTTGCTTGCCTTGCCCCAATTTTATTTGTTCAAGCTGTGGAACATGGGGGAATCTTGACCTTCTAACACCACTTAAACTTTCCAAATAGCTCCTTATTCACCATGGTTTTTCTAGAATAGCAATAGAAAGATTTTAATCCAAGGTTACGCATCAACTTCAAAGGTCTGGGTTGTTTTTTTTTACAGTTCCTACAGATCATGAATTTCATTCCACTATAGACCCTCATTCTTTATTTTAGTGATAAATACTTCCTTCTTGTAGGGGATTCAGCATTAAGGAGAATCACGAAATCACAGAATGGTTCAGGTTGGAAGGCATCTACGTGGAGGGTTGGCCTGCCCTCAAGATATTGAAGGTGACAGAGAAC